ATATTTATATTGGTTGCATAATTTTAATTTCGATCGCGCAAAAAATGTTATAAGCACGTCGAACGTTAAGGGTTACCGTTCTCAGACAATAATTGGAGTCGTCGCTTCGCTCCTCCTCCAAACAATTGTCTTCGAACGGTAAAAATCCCTTACCGTTCTCCATACTTAATATACTATTTGTTCTAAATTATAAGAGGGTGTATTGGGTGGTAAATGTTCCGCCCGATAAAGTGTGAAAATAGGAGGATTTTGCAACTCTTCCTCCGCAACTTTCTTTCGAAACCATCTACTCCCCGCTTCTCCGTGTAGAAGAACACCGCATGTAAAACAGATATGACAATAGAGATTGCTCTTAGAGTTTTCAGTACCGCTCTTCAGGTAAGTAGCGATTGTCATTTCGTCGGTAATTATTAAATTATCTATGTCACTTGTTTTACTTGCGATTTCCGTGTCCACAGCCTTTTTCGCTTCCAATTTCAACTGTTCAAATTCAGCCTCATTTAATTCGTCAGAGTTCTCTAAATTTCTTAAGGCGCGTCCAGACATGGCGAACGAGCGCGAACAAGCGTTGGCGAACGCAAACAAGCATCGACGAGCGGAAAGCAGAGAGATTTTCTTTAAAACGAGCGCGAACGAACAATTCGCGGCCATTTTACCATTCGTTTGTGTTCCACAGTTTTCTGTTTTCGAGCATGGATTCGACTCGAAAGAAAAAAATAATAGTAGCAAGTGCTGCGTTTTTGTTTCTGAAATTAAACGAGAAAAAACGCAGAAGGCGCCGTCGATGGTGGATGACATCAATATTTAGAGACAGAGAAAACCGTAATGCTTCAGAATTATTGCTTACCCTTACACAAGAAGATTCCGGGCATTTTACAAACTTTTCCAGAATGACTGCCACTGATTTTGAAGAATTGTTGCAATTAATAGGACCAAAAATAGAAAAAAAAGGACACTTATTACAGAGAAGCTATTCCAGCAAAAGAAAGACTAAGTGTGACTTTAAGATTTCTTGCAACAGGGGATTCCTACGCCAGCCTTAGTTATCTATTTAAATTTTCAAAACAAGTTATTGCAACGATTATTCCTGAAGTTTGTGCTGCGATAATAGACGCTCTACGACATGAAATTAAGGTAGGTAAGATACTTTTTTATATTTATTTCACCAATTGCTATATGCATAGGTTAGGGATAATGTTACAAAAAATATTACATTAAAACTACCGATGCCTATTGAAAATTTGTGAAAAACGTAAGTAACGAGGGTGCTGCAGATTCTTCTGTATGTCTGTCATTAGACTCGTGAACTGTAGATCCCATGCTCATTGCTGAAACTTGTTCTGCATGTTGCAACGGAGCTGTCTGCATAGGAGTTGGAGTTATCTGATGGTTACTCGCCGGTAGGCTTTGATTAGTTGAAAACTGTTGCTGAGAATTTTGATTAGGATTCCCAAGGCTTAGTGAAGGTGAAGGGAATGGTGTCACCGTTGTTGAAGAATGCGCAGAAGCCGAGCTGGAATACTGAGGCTGGAACTGTGATTGCATATGTAATAATGGCTGCCTAAATCTTCCCATTTCAGCGTCAAACAGATTTTGATTTATATAATGCTTGGCTACAATTCTCGAGTGACTATCTAATGTTCTCAACGTTTTCGCAACGTATTCTCCAAATACATCATTATCATCACGAGTAACTGGACGCTCTGATGCAGTCGATTTCAAAATACTATAAACTTCATCTATTCTAGGATCTTCTTTAGGCCTCTTGGCACACGATGATTTTGAAAACAAAGGTCGTTTTAGAGTGCTTTTTGTAGTCGTGGTAGATAAGGGCATCTCACTTTTTTCTTCGTCACATTTGCTTCCAGTTTCCTTTGAGGTTGCTTCCTTTAAGGTTTTATCATTCCTTTCTTCATCTTCACCATCGCCCAGGATTTCATCGTCACCTTCACCGAGGAGCTGCTGGGAATCCTAAAAACCAAGGAAAAACATACAAAAGGTTAAGTTACAAAAATTAATGGTTTTATTAGTTTTGTTCGTGGTCTTGGTGATTAATTTTGGTTAGTTTGTTTATCGCCGCTCTTAAAATTATTTTTGAGTATTACAGAAAATAAATATCTATCAGGTAATTCTCTTTGTTCCAGACACCAACTTCCAGGGAAGAATGGCTCAAAATTTCGGAAGATTACTACAATTTATGGAATTTCCCCCATTGTTTAGGCGCGATAGACGGGAAGCACATAGCTTTACAAGCACCTATCAACAGCGGTTCCGACTACTTTAACTATAAATCGCACTTCAGTATTGTGTTAATGGCAGTTGTTGATGCAAATTACAAATTTATTTATGCAGACGTCGGTTGTCAAGGACGTATTTCCGATGGTGGTGTGTTTAAAAATACTAGTTTCTATCTTGACATGGAATCAAATTCTTTAAACTTGCCAGAAGAAGCGCCCCTCCCAACAACCAATTCTGTCGCACCTTACGTGTTTGTAGCAGATGACGCGTTTCCACTTATGAAAAATATTATGAAACCCTATACAGGATCCTGGGAAAAAGGTACAAAAGAAAGAGCTTTCAATTATCGACTGAGTAGAGCGCGACGAATTGTTGAAAATGCATTCGGCATATTATCGTCTGTATTCAGAGTGTTCAGGAAACCAATGCTGTTAAATCCTGATAAAGCAACTCTTGTTGTGCTTGCATGTTTATATCTACACAACTTTTTAAGAAATCGCAAAAACTATAATAATTTTACCGAGAAGTCAGGTGTAGAAAAAAAAAGTACGCAAGGGAACGATTACCAAGAAAGATCGGCGTTTAGCTCTTTTCGATGTATTCCTCGAAAAACAGCCGAAAATGTAAAAAAAATCAGGGATACGTTTGCGGAATTTTGCAAAACAGAACGCGTTTCATGGCAAGACGATTATGAGTAGGTTATCTATATATTGTTATTAACTATTATTGTTCGTTACGGTAAAATATGTATCTGAATAAAAATTCTTACTTCTGAAGTATTTTGTGTTTTCCGTGGAGTATAACGATCTGACATAAATGCCAAAGCATCATAAGCAAACCAGGTGGGAGTATATTTGTCAGCTGTCGCCATGCCTGAATGAGTAACATCTTTGACTTTTTGTCTCTCCCTTCTATACGACGCCTAAAAAAAATAATAAATATTACATTACCTACAGACCATATACCTAAAAATAGGTACCCACCTATGCAAAAATCTGGAACTTTTAAGTTCAATTAAAATTTTAATAACAAAGAAAATTAAGGAACAATGTTTAATAAATCATTAACTTACCTGTAAACTCTTCCATTTCTTTTTTACTTCTTCTGGTGTACTATTGTAAGTACGAGCTAATTCGGACCACGCATCATTCTTTTTCCTTGTAATTTTGTAAAAGGGATTTTGGCTATCCCATAGCATTGCCAACTTTTCCACATCTTTTATAAAAGAAATAACTATGTCGTTGGACCATTCCATGAGGCTTAACACGCAAAATCAATCAACACTGCTAGTTTAACTCAACCTGTTGACTCAACTGCCACTTTTCGTTTGCAAATGCAACAGCGACCGTTCGTTCCCCGTCCAGACCTGACGATCGCGATCAAACACGAACGAGCATTTTCCTTTGATGTACCGACCGACGGCGGATCGCGTTCGCCGACGTTTGTCGTTGCTTCTTCATGTTCGTTTGCGCTTGCCGCTACGTCCACACTTGACGAAATTCTCGTGCTCGCGAGTGCTTGTTCGCGCTCGTTCGCCATGTCTGGACGCGCCTTTACGCAAACTGTCGGAAGGAACTTCCAGAATAATTCACATGCGAAACGAATCTTTCATACATTAATTCTACATAGCCACTTTTACCCAATCTCTCATTATAATTTACAGCAAAGCACCCTGACACAAGTAAATGTTTTTTATTTGTTTCATTCCATTCGAGGTTTTTTCTTTCCGATTTTGATTTATTAGATTCGAGAGTTGCAAGCCGATTAGTTAAAGCTTTATCCGAGGGAACGTATGTAATTTGAAGGGTACGCATTTCGGTTACTAAAAGCTCCCTTAGTGCTTTCGCGAAATTTTTAATTTCTCCACGACAATCGCGTAAATTATTCGCGCACTTGATCAAAATTTCAGATAGTTCCGGGGTCCATTTGAAAGTTTTCTTCTTTGGACCCATTTCGATTCGCAAATGTATAAAAAATTTTAGAAAAATTAACACGGACACGTATACTACCTATACGAAATTCCTGGATAAAACTAACAATTTGGCGGTTTAATGTTTAACCATCTCCAAGAAGGGTATCGCGTGAAAATTTCTTATTGGTTGAAAATTTATGGCGTGACATTCGATACTATTGATTGGATGATATTATAACATTCTTTCATTGACCGTTAAAAACAGTTCATCTAAAACAGTTTTTTATGTGCTACATTAATTTGGCAAATTTATACTTTATACTGGACAATTGAATGCAATTTAATTATGTTTATATCGTATATTAATTAAGAATATTGATGCACGTACAAAATTTACTACTTTTATTGATCACTACAGATGAAGTAAATTGAACATTTTGAGAGTAATAACTAATATTTGTTTACATTTGTTTATTATTTACTTACACTTAATTATGACCATACGTAAAGTTAATGACATCTTAAGAAACAATGGAAAGAATGCATACGAGAAAATTAGGGAGAATTCATATAAAGTGTATAATGTGTTGCCTATCCATCAGACTAGATTTAGTAATTATTTAGTATATGAGCAAAGAACACATAATTACTCTTTGATATAAATAAAAAATTTGAAATCTGTCATAATATAATAGAAATAAATATGTAAACTTGTGAAACATATTTTTGAGACACTACGTTTAGAGTTGAACTTCTTGATAACATTGATAACATAATGAAATAACAATATATAACTAGTTCAATCGATAAATAATCGAATTAATAATAATAATAATAATGGTGTGTAATAGACATAAGCATGTTCTTCCATACGTCAAAGTAAGAATAGAAAATGCAAATATAGCTCATACTACATTGTTAAAATTAAACTTGCAGAAGTCTTCAATACTGTAGAATGCGTTGCTGATCAATATACTTTTCATCTTGGCACCGAACTCCCTCTCTTCCAGATCTCTCAATGTATTGGGTAGCACATTGTAGCATGTTTTGATGTAATAGTGGACGAATTAATACTAATGTTAGGTGACTGAAACTATTGGGCATAGAAAGTTGAAATTTGGTTACTGGTTCCTTAGGGATTGTAGAGAACACTAACAAAGGATTTCCCGAAATTTCTATGCTACCTACCAAGAAAAAACGGGTTTTGCAACCGAAACTACGAAAAATAGAAACTTGATATTTAGAACGTATGTTTCTTTGAAGGCGTTAAGGTATATTTTTAAAACACTGTTCGGAATTCCCAGGTGAACGTAAATGCATAAGACAGATGGTAATGTTTAAGCGAGTACGAAGTCACGAGCAAAAACTATAGTTTAATATAAAAACAAAGTAAATAAAAAGTACCGAAAGTACCAGAAAGTAGTTAATACAAAATATTTTGTGATGCGGTGCTACACAATTTCAACATCTGAAAAAAAACAAAAATTAATATAATAGTAGTAATAATAATAACAATCATATATACAAATGATAATAACGAACGATGAAAAATGAGTTGCTACTGTAAATGTAAATAAAAATTCCAAGAAATGACTGGACAGCAACTCATTTTTGATCGCATAGTATTTTTTCATTTGTAATTAAAATTTAATAAAAAAATCTTACCTAAAAAAATCTCCATTAATCAAATTGTATACAAGGCTTATTCCCCTGCCGTTTGGGTGTATGCCATCTCTATAATAAAATTGTATTTACAACATGGTAAGACCGATTATATTAAATTTGTGTTAAAATAAAACAAAGTAATGTATCTACATTTGAATAATGGGCAATAAATAATTATTATACGCATACCTTTCAAAAAGGTGGTAATCCCCAAACGCATTAAAAATGGCATTCCCCTCCACAACGCGAATATTGGTAGGTTTTTTATTACCTAGAGCGTGCAACCGATAATTGAAGGCATTCAACTGTTGCCTTTGCAGTGTGTTTGCTCTAGGCAATGGTGGTATGGTACAAACCATAAATCTCCCTCCGCGACGTTTTTAAATGTCGCCAATAAGACATCGTAGGTCGTCGATCATTCTTGCGGCATTATTTCCGCGCAAAACATCGTTAGTACCAATTAAAATAACATTGATATTTGTTGTCCTTTTTGCTAACGTTTTCATTTTTTTAACTCGACGGCGTAAGTTCCGAATGGTGTAACCACCGACGCATCCTTGTGAGCCCAACTTCCCCGATGTTGTCCTAAATACAGGGCAGCGAATAAAACATTCCAACCCTCTCCTCAAAATACTCGCTCCAAAATGATAACGGTCCGGCGTGTTCATCTGAATAAAACATTGTATAGGTAATGTAAAAAGTACGTTTCTTATATACATGCATTTGTGACTTACAGTGTACAAAATTGACAATCACTACAGAAAATGGACACCAATTAATCAAATGTCACTGTCAAGATCAACACCTAAAATTTTTAACAGTAAGTGTAAAGGGTCATAAATGTAGGTAATATTTCTTACCAATCATAAATACAAAGCAATCAATAAAAAGCGAATCCACTGATTTCACGTAAAATAAATTAAAAATAGGCCAGAGACTAACTTATCTAGACATATCAAGCTATAATGAATGAATCATCAATCAAACAGAAATGAAGGGGTGTGTTATTTATAAATCAAACACACAAAAGTAAAGTGATCCTTTCTTACATAATGTAGATACAACATACGCTATCTTTTGGATTACTTTGTTTAAAAAAAATTCGAAAATAGTCCTTGGTGAGTGCCGACAGAAGCGAATGTTTCTCTCTCTCTCTCTCTCTCTCTCTCTCTCTCTCTCTCCCCCTCTCTCTCTCCCCCTCCCTCCCTCCCTGAGGACCAAATTGCCTTCTCTTGGTCTTGCTTGCGACAGAACAGGGGTGTCAAACCGTGCAGCTGCAATAATTGCTAGTGCCGTGTTGGAAGATGTTGGTCTGATAACAAAAACTAATCCTACCATGACGATCGATCGAATGAAAGTAAGAAGGGCAATAGAGGCACAACGTCGTTTATTAAACGAAGGCGGGAACAGAACGAGATTACTAGGATTATTTTTTGATGGCCGCAAGGACAAAACGCTAGTTAATGAAAAAGAAGATGAGGTATTTCACCGAAGAACAATCTCAGAAGAGCATGTCGCTGTTTTAGAGGAACCTGGATCCAGGTACGTAGGGCACACGACCCCAATCGTCGGTACTGCTCTTGGCATTAAGAATTCTCTCCAGGGTTTAGTCGATGAAAAATTTTACACAACAGACTTAGTGGCTATCGGCTGCGATGGTACTGTAATGAACTACCTTTACGGCATCTAATAACACACCTTGATGGCGAGACAACTGGGCCACCTGGATTTAAAGGTGATATAGGTCAAAAACTCGAGAACTGTGAGAAACTTCCCCTTACTCAATTTCACCCTATTAAAAATAACCTTCCGGCAATGGATTGCAGTAAATTCAATGGTCTTAGCACCGATCAACAATACCTTCTCGAGATGGTACAAGGAATAGAAGCAGGGGTTATTTCTGCATCTTTAACGGCAAGGAATTCTGGAAAAATGTCTCATGCTAGGTGGCTTACAACTGCCAACCGGATTTTGAGGCTATATACCGCAACCAAGGAACCAACTGCCAATTTGCAAATTCTTACCGAATATATCGTAAAGGTTTATGCTCCGTTATGGTTCAACATAAAGCTTAAACCTTCTTGTGTTGAAGGTGCAAGGCATTTTTATAGAATGGTGGAATTTTCTAGGTTTTTTCCAAAAAACGTATTGAAAATTATCGACCCAGTTATTGAGCGAAACGCTTTTTTTTGTCACCCAGAAAATATACTGCTTGCACTACTTACGGATGAAGACCTAACATACAAAGAGCTTGGAATTAGGAGGGTTCTCAAAGCAAGAAAAAACTACAAACCAGGAATTCGTGTGTTCACAGTACCTTCAATAAACTTTAAAGCAACACACTATTCACAATTGATTTTCTGGGACAAGGTGAAATTATCAGAGCCACCTTTAACCAAAAATATGGAACTAGATTTAGGAAAGACAGTCAAGTTTGATTTTCCTCCTTTTCCTTGCCACACCCAAGCAGTGGAACGCTGCGTGCGCCTTGTGACTGAAGCATCCGCTGCTGTTTGTGGCCCAGAAAATCGAGAAGGCTTCATCCAGGCTCGTATAAAATCAAGAAATATTCTACCGACATTTGAAACAAAAGCAGACTATTTCTTAAAGAAATAATTTCCGTGCTTTCACAATTACATTTGTATTACACTTTTGGTTTCGCTTCTTGACTTAAATATCTAAGGACCTGTTGACTTATTATTTTTATGGCACCTAGTTCTAAATGCCAAACTATGTTTATTTGGAAAAAAAATATTAAAACCATATATCTCGGGATATTGTTTTGTTTTTAATTTTTAAGGCCAATTAGGAACCTCAGGATATTTTTGGATGTGATTCAGATTTTTTACGCGCTCTTCAGACGCAAAAAGGAACATTTTATGTCCTATGACAGGCGGATTAATGAAAAAAAATTTAAAAAAATTTTTTTCGTTCCACCCTAATGTAGAACCTTGTGTAGAAGAAAGTGTGGCAAGTACACCAGCAAACGGTAAGTGTACCTTAACACATTAACATTTATTATGTTGTATGTCACAGATTGGAGTACCTACACACCAACTATGTTGCGGACAAAAAAACATAAATTGCTGAGAGAGAAAAAAGGTGATACAACAAATAAGAATGGTTAGTATGTACATAATTTAGCAGTATTAATGACTACATAAAAATTACAGCACTTACATCATCTAAGGTGTTAAATGAAATAACCAATTCCAAAATTGAGTTGAATAAATTAAAAAAAGATTTATTAACTCAAGAGATTAGAGAAAAGGCAGAACTAAACAAAGAGATTTTAGACACTCATAAATTAAAAAAGGAAAATTTAAGATTACAAAATGAGTTGCTATCCTTACAAATTAAAAAGCTAAAAGAAACAAATAGCATTGTATAAAAACTTTACTCTTTAATTTAATGTAATATTAAGTTTTATAATGTAGAAAAATAGTTAATAAATGGTTGTCTATAAAAGTTACGGTTTTCTGCTTCCACATGGTTCTGTGGTTGATCATCAATCACTGGTACAATAACATCAGGATCAACCAATGGTTCCCCTTCATTTCTAGCTCTTGCTAGGTTATGTAAAGTGGCACATGCAATAATAATTTGTTGTGCTGTTTGTAGCTTGATACGTATCCCTATGCTTAGTATGGGAAAACGACGTTTCAACACTCCAAATAGCCTTTCAATTGGATTTCTTGTACGGATCTGGGCCTCGTTAAATAATTGTTCAGCATCATTATTTGGATGCAGTAATGGTGTTATTAAATACTTCTGTATGGCATAACCAGAATCTCCTAAGATTATGCTGTTATTGAATTCACCATTCTCTAAGCGGGCATGAATCCTAGAGTTGTTGAATATGGTTTGGTCATGTGTAGATCCAGGCCATCTCACTACTATATCCAGCACTCGAAGAGATGCATCCCCAACAACTTGTACAATTAAAGAAAAGTATCCCTTTCGATTACGAAAGTACTCTGCATTGTGGCCTCCTACAAATTTTATATATTTGAAGTTACGAATTAGATAAATTGGCATAATTTATTAATTACCTGGGGATTGTATGCGGACATGGGTGCAATCGATGGCTCCTATTGTACGAGGAAATCTGGCAATGTTGTAAAATGCCAATTGATGATTTCTTATTTCCTCTTCAGTATTAGGCATACGAATGTAGTTTTCAGATAAAGTACAAATAGCAGCTGTAACTTTTTTTACAATCCGGCAAGCCGTGGATTTGTGGACCCCACTAAAATCTCCAACAGCTATGAGCATATTCCCTGTAGCATACAGGCGTAATGTTAATAACAGCTGGTTCATAGGTGTAATCGCCTTATTCCTATTGGAAATACACACAGAAATATTGTAAACAGTGATTAATTTGAAGTTTGCACTTACCTATTACTTATAGTTGCCAACTGGCCCTCGATTAATTCTAATAAAAAAAGAACAGATTCCTTTTGCAAACGAAATCTCATCGTAAATTCCTGGTCAGACCACTTTGTAAAATTATCTGGTCTTTCTCGAAATGTACGTTCGCGCCTGACTCTACGATTTAGCTCTAAAAGTAATTCTTCATCTGAATCTGTAGAGCTAGAGCTGCTACTACTATTCATAACTTCATATTGATCAGAATCTGATGATGCATCCATAATAAACAGAAACTTAATTCCAATTATCAACAAAATATGAAAGATGAAACTCAATAAAATACACGCGATGTACTCGGGAAAAAATCATAACCTATAAATTGAAATTCGAACTGGCGGTTGACTAGCCAATCGCTACTTGGACTACAGGTTGACCGAACCGGCGGTTGAACCGTCGGTGTAGAGTCAACCTGAGGTCGTGCAACACAATCTTACAATTAACCTCCGGTTCAAATTCAACCTTTATACAACCGGCCCTTATACCGAATTCGCCTTCGGCTCGCTTGGCATTGGTGTGAAAAAAGTATAGTGTGTGTTTGTCTGTTGGTAAATGTCGTTTGCCAACGTGGACGTAGAGAGTCGAGTTTATGGGAGCGCCAGAGTTAGGTATGTCGAACTCACCAAAAGCCGACAACAGGTTTCAGAATTCCGGGCGAGACCTTCACAATTAAGTATTATTTTATGCCCGAGAAAATATCTAACAGGAAATAAAAACCCCTAAACTCCTTTTACTTCCAAAACTAATCTTTGCAAAAGAAAAATCTCAAAATAGAAAGCACCTAGGTATATCTGGTAATTAGTTTGTGGCGCCACTGTCTGCTCCCGGCGCTACTGACTATCGTCATAGGGCTACTGGAGCGCCACCTATGGCGTGGTATAAAACCGGACTGCGCTAAGCGTCCAGCGTCTTTTTCCTCCGGTTCTCTAAGCGACTACAACCTGTGTAAGTAAACGTTTAACTGTAACCAGTGGCGCAACCAGGAATTGAGATTGGGGAGGGCACAAAGAAAAAGAAAGATACTTATAGTAATTTCTTATTGCGAGAATCGTATTATAAAGACTTCTCATGTACCTAGATCTAATTTCTACAGTCTATTAAGCTAAATAACAAACTCAAGTCTCCTTGGGGATTCTTTCAAAATAGCTAGAATTTCCGCGAAGTTCACAGGAATCTCACGATGGATGTTGAGACTAGCTAGCCCATTCAGTCGAATTTCAGTCATCGTGTTACGAAGGTAAGTCTTTAATCGACGTAGCGTTGAAAACGAGCGTTCAGCAGTACAGGTGGTCACTGGTAGAGTAGCAAAAATTTTCAACAATGTACATACATTCGGGTATACGCTCTCTTTACACTGATTCAGACAATCAACTGCAGTCCGTGGCAGATTTTCGGATCCTTTAAAACTCGAATGCCATAATTTGAGTTCGCTCGTAAGGACGTGGATGTTACTTGCTCCAACGTCACTTTCATATGTAGTAGCCAATTTTTTTATTCCTATTTCTAGCTCCTTTTCAATTTCACGTTTTGTTTTGGACTTCGCCACCTCTTGTTGATAATATTTGGGAAGAAGGCAAACGAAACTCTTCAATATTTCTTGATGTTTCATTAGACGCTGTTCGATACTACCCGATAGACTCTCTGCAAAGGGTATGAAAACAGTTCTTCGGAAATATTCTTCTACATCGCCCGCTGGTGTATTATCGCGATGAACTTGTTTTCCAACTCTTCTTGGAATTTTTATCTCAGTACCCAGAAAGGCTGCTTTCTCACTAGCGGCCTCAAATATTTCATGAAAATCTTCTTCTGCGTTTTGTCTCAATGATTGAATTTGCGCAAGAGCATTTTCGGCATGATCAATCACAGACACTAAATCAGAATCAATTGTTTGGAGTTGCTTACTCAAAATTAATGTATAGCTAAGCAATTTTTCAGAAGTTGATAAAGCGATCAGAAACTCAGGCTGTCTGATAGCGTTGAGAAGAATGTTAGCTTGCGACGATGAATCCCGGTCATCCCATTCACCGATTTCTTCTAACGCTGCTGCTGCTGGTATTAGTAAGTCCCCGGTTACCATCACAGAATCATGGCGTTCGACCCATCTTGTAACACACAGCTTCATCAATTTTTGTCGTGTGGACTCAGGAGCGTGAGCGTTAATCTGTTTTTTTAATACTGCTTCCCGTTTCGGAGTATTGAAAAAAACCGCCAACTTCTCGATTATGCCGAAACAATTTTTAATTTGTCTAATGCCCGATGAATTACTCAGTGCCAAATTGAGACTGTGGGAAGCACAATGTACGTACAGAGCTTTCGGGAATTTCGCAGCGATCCTAGCTTGAGTACCTTTGAAACTGCCACTCATTGATGCAGCTCCATCATAGCCTTGCCCTCTCAGATTCTCAATGTCTAGATTATTCTCTCGAAGCACAGTTTCAATTGTATTTGCTAAAGCTTCGCCGGTTGTAGAAGTAACAGGAACAAATTCTAAAAACTTCTCACATATTGTATACTTGCTTTCCGCATCTCGCTTCAGATAACGCAAGCAGAGAGAGAACTGCTCCATCGTCGAGACATCAGAAGTTTCGTCCGCTAAGATACTAAAAAACTTTGCATCTTTAACTTCAGCGATTATTTTCTCCTTAATCACACGATGTGAAGCCGCTAGTATTTCATTTTGGATCTTCCAACTAATATAGGTTGCATTTTTTCCGCAGTTTTGAAAATGTTCAATGATGTTTTTATCATTAGCTTGAACACGTAACCGTAGCAGTGCGCGCAAATTTCCTTCATTTTCAACAGGCGCGCAATTCAAATCAAACTCACCATGATCGCGGTGACCTCTTAGAGCTATACCTTGTCTTCCACAAAAAAGGACACTCTCCACGATTGGCTTGATTTTCTCAGCATTTCTCTTCGCTTGATTTTCGCTCGCCACGTCAATAACTTTATCAATTCCCTTCATGCTACTGCTACCACTCATAACTTTTTCAAAATTCAAAGCCGCTACCACGGAATGTTCATGATATGTTAAACCACAATGTTGCTGGAATTTTTCCAGAGCTTTCTTCCAATTGCAGAAACCTTTTTTCACAAAACTGCCAGCCGACTGCGATGAATTAATTCCAACACTCTCGGGAGCAAACAAGGCACAATATACACAATAAACGGTATCTTCTTTGCGCGAATAACTAAGCCAAGGGAATTTCTTCAACCAAGAATAACAAAATTTACGTCTGCGTTCACCACAAGTTCGATATGGAAATACAAAGTTGTCATCAGGAATCCATCTGTTTCGTAAAAAATTTATTTTCTCAGCATCAGTTAAACGTCTACTGATCAACGATGAGATGTCCATTGAATTTTTTTCTTGGAAGTTGTGATCTGCGTTCGGTGCATTATCGGTTTCTTCAATAACAACAGCATTTTCCGAAATCACGGCAGTTTCTTGCGAATGTTCATTCTCTGCGGTATTCCTTTTAATTGGTGCGAAAAAATTCAGAAGGGTGGTACTTTTTCTTTTCATTTTGTATGTAGCACTTCTTGAATCTTGAATTGAAACTGTTTTCACGTCTTTTTTACACGTCAAGTAGCCGGAAAGAGACAATCAGGCAACTATGAGAATGAGAAAAATCTCACTTCGGTGGAAATCTGACAAGTCATTCAGTACGAGTTTTACTACAGTTGCATTGTTTATTAAATGCCGCGCTGTCTTTTAAGACGTACCACGTACAAATGCAGATTTTGTCACGTACCTGCTGAACCTGCAAAAACAACCGTAGGCTGTATTGTCTATTCGGCGTAAAATTTGCTTTGCTTTGAAATTATTTCAACCTGCCTGTCATAAACATTTTTTCTCGGAAGGTCAAGAATCGTTTTAAATTAGTACCTACTAACCTACCTTACACCTATTTATAGGGAAAAAAATAAAACCCATTTGATTAAATATACGTCAAGGTCAATTAATTTTTATTCCATGATTTATTCCCATTCCTAATTAACAATTAAAAACAAAAAAAGCAAATATTAATTTATATATAGGCTTGTCATTTAACCGAATTTAACAATCGACTGCATAATTAAATTTCATCGGAGGTTTTTAATTAACAAAGCCTCCTAATAAAAGAAAAAGATCGGAGTTGAACAAATTATCCTTCTTATTTTATTTTCCGTTGATGCTCTGGGGGGTGCACGAGCACCCTTGGCCCCCCCCTTGGTTGCGCCACTGACTGTAACCACATGGTTAGTGTTTTATTTTAATCTTAGCACGCCTGTAATTGGCGTGGCAAATAAATAAGTAGTGTTTTAATATCACTCAAGGAATGATATCGTTCCTCGAAACGAACACTACAATTGGTGACCCGCGCAAAGTGTAATCACGCAGCCGGTAATTAACAACCGCCGTCCGGCCATTTTGAAAACCACGCCACGTGTTTTTTTTCACATCCAACAATGCCACTGGACAATATTACCGACGTTCAAGCACCGTAGGAGGAGCCCCCTCGGGGAACCCAAGCCGGACCACAACCACAAACGACAACCATTGCAGCCACTGCCGTAGTACTTCCCGCGTTTTGGCCTAATCGTGTCGAGCTATGGTTCTCAATGGCGGAAGCCAAATTCGACTTGGCACACCCCAAGATAACTCGAGAAGATACCAGGTTTAATCATGTGCTCACCGTTTTACCTCCGGAAATCGCAGATGAAGTTAGCGACCTAATCATACAGCCGGATCCAAACACCCCGTATACGAAGCTAAAATCTGCAATTGTCACTAGGATGGCCATGACCGACTCCCAGAAGCTAAAAAAGCTACTCTCAGGAGAAGAACTAGGGTCCAGAAAACCGTCTCAGTTACTAAGACACATGCGCCAGCTTGTGCAAAATTCCAGTTATGTTAACGACAGAGCGCTCAAAGAACTGTTCCTACAGCAACTCCCAACATCGGTTCAAGCAATACTGGTATCACTCTACCAGTTAACACTGGAACAACTGGCCGAGACAGCTGACCGGGTTCTAGAAATTACACCGACAGTGGCAGCAGTAAGTTCACCGCAGCCACAAACCGAACAAGCCGGTGCAAGCAGCTCACCACCGAGCTACGATGCAATTGCAGCCCTCACAAGCAAAATGACCGAGTTGCTACAGATCCTCACTGTCCAAAATAATAGATCGAGAAACAACTATCGAGGCAGGAGCCGCAGCCGGAGTGCTTCGTCTTCAAAGGAATGCTGGTACCACCGTAAATTTGGAGCTTCGGCAAAGAAGTGTATTCCCCCATGCACTGGTAAAAAAAACGAGGCGCAGCAGTAGAGGCGACGACTACTGCAAGTCCCTCAGCAACCCGTCGCCTCTTCATAAAGGACCACTCCCTAAACGTTGATTTTCTAATCGACACAGGGGCAGACCTGAGTGTCCTTCCGAAATCCTTTAAGGAACACAATCGAGCTACCAACTTCACCCTTCAATCTGCCAATGGTTCCGAGATAGCAACGTATGGGTTAAGGACTATCAGTGTAAATATAGGTTTACGGAGAAACTTTCAATGGACATTTGTAGTGGCTCAAGTGATGTGTCCAATCATAGGCGCAGACTTTTTACACCATTTTAATTTAAGTGTAGACATTAGGAACAGACAATTAACAGACAATACAACATCCATTAAAAGTAAGTGCTCGTGCAACAAAACTTCAGTGTTATCGGTGCGCACAGTTTACAGTGCTAACAAGTTTTTTAACATCATTCAAAAATATCCCGATGTCGTCAGGGCTAAACCCATTCAAGACCCGATAAAGCATACGGTTGTGCACCATAAAGAAACAAAGGGCCCGCCAGTACACTGCAAACCCAGACGTCTCGCACCGGACAAACTCCGAATCGCCAAAGAAGAGTTCACAAGGATGCTCGAGGCGGGTGTGATACAACCATCTTCTTCACCTTGGGCCAGCCCGTTGCACATGGTACCCAAAGCCGATACCACCTGGAGACCGTGTGGGGATTATCGGATGTTAAATGCAGTGACCACGGCCGATAGATACCCTATTCCACATATTGAGGATTTTAGTCACCATTTACTGGGAAAAACTGTCTTCTCCTCGATAGATTTGGTTAAGGCCTATCACCAAATACCAGTAAACCCTGCAGATCGGCCAAAGACAGCAGTCACCACACCTTTCGGGTTGTACGAGTTCGTAAAGATGCCTTTCGGTCTGAGAAATGCCGCTCAGACTTTCCAAAGATTCCTCGACGATGTGCTACGTGACCTCGACTTCGTCTACGCCTATATCGATGATGTACTGATCGCATCAAAAGACGAAGAGGAACATATCGCACATCTAGATCTCGTACTGCAGCGCTTTACAGAATATGGAATCGTAATCAATCCGAACAAGTGTGTATTTATTTGGAGCTCAGGAGTTAAAATTTCTTGGAGTGAAGATCACTACAGAAGGAATCCTCCCCCTCCCGGAAAAGGTGCAAGCTATCCACGATTTTCCTCTACCGACAAAAAGTAAGGGATTACAGCAATTCATCGGTATGGCGAACTACTACCGGAGATGGCTACCAGAAGCAGCTGCAGCATTAGCCCCAATGCACAGTCTACTTAAAGGCCTGCAGCGTAGAAACGTAGTGCTCACCTGGACAGACGCTGCCATTGAATCTTTTAGGCAAGTAAAACAGAAGCTAGTTAATGCCACTCTGTTAACTTACCCTAATCTATCATTACCAATGAATCTCACCGTCGATGCCTCAGATACAGCGGTAGGTGGCGTACTACAGCAAGGATCACCTGGCAACTACAAGCCAATCTCCTTCTTCTCCTTGAAGTTAAATCCAGCAGAAACTAGGTATAGCACCTACGATCGAGAGCTGCTGGCAATTTACAAGGGGATCAAACATTTCCAACACTTCCTTGAAGGCCGCAATTTCACGGTATTTACGGACCACAAGCCGCTAGTGTTTGCATTCAAGCAAAAACCAACGAAGTGCACCCCGCGTCAGTGTAGGCACCTCGACTACATCTCACAATATACAACAGATATTCAACATATACCAGGTGTGGACAACATCCCCGCAGACACAATGTCCAGAGTTGAATCGGTTACATATAACCAAATCGACGTAAGGGCATTTTCAAAGGCACAGCGGGACGACCCAGAATTAGTGAAGTTGCGCGAGCAAGGAAAATACATTTTCTCAGAAATCCCATCTTGCGTACCTGAAGACAAACTAATCTACGAAACTTCCACTCCACATCGCCGACTGTACGTACCACAGACCTACAGGAATATTATGTTCAATGCCATCCACAATCTATCTCACCCAGGAGTGAAAGGCACAACGAAGCTCGTCGTCTGCAAATATTTCTGGCCCGGCATGCGGAAAGATGTCGCCAATTGGGTAAAAACATGTCTTCCATGTCAGCGAGCGAAAGTCAACAAACATGTGCGATCGCCCATAGGCACTTTCGCAGAACCAGACGCTCGTTTCAGCCACATCCACATGGATATCGTTGGACCGCTACCATACTCCAATGGAAAGCAATACCTCCTCACAATGATCGATAGATTTACCCGGTGGCCTGAAGCGATTCCAATACAGGACATCACAGCCGAAACGTGTGCTAAGACGTTCGTAGAGTACTGGATAGCACGATTTGGCGTCCCTTCAACCGTCACCACGGATAGGGGCAGGCAATTTGAATCATCCCTATTCGCCGAGGTGAGTAAGCTGGCTGGAATCCAAAAAATTCACACCACGTCGTTCCACCCACAAAGCAACGGACTCGTAGAGCGGTTTCATCGTCAGCTAAAGGCAGCGTTAAAATGCCACGAGTCAGATTGGACCGAGTCGTTACCTTTAGTGTTACTGGGAATCCGCAACACAGTAAAGGAAGGCGTTAATACAACACCAGCCGAATTGTTGTACGGAACAACCATGAAACTTCCAGGTCCAATGATGGAACCACCCGCAACGAAAACT